CGACCTCCTCACCTCCCACCTGGGCTTTCTCCCATCAAACCTGCAGCAGCAAATTAACCAGCATTGCATAATTGTGCCTGCCCGTGGCCCTCTAAGTACTGTTTACTCAGCTTATTAGCTTGAGCCTTTTGCATATCTCAGCTCTCCTGGGTTGAACTCTTTTGATAAGAATGATTTTCTTCCAGCGCCCTGCATTCCTCCCGCATCCCACATCAGCCCCTACTCTCCCCTCCGAGCTCGCCTGGAAAACAAGCGCTGGAAAACAGCACTTTCATTTCGATGTGCCTACCAGAAGGTTTTCTGCATGTAGAAAAAAAATCCCCCGATTAAATCCACTGCACAGTCATTTAGGCTTGCTGGGATTTAGCAGGCGCTGTCTGTTCATACTGCAGAGATCGGTATTGTCTTTTTTTTGGTTGTTGTTTTCAAAGCAATATAACCTGATGTGGCTTTCCCGTGATGTACCCTGTGCCTGAGAGAGAGCAGAGCTTTCGGTGGGGCTCGGGGAAAGGATTTCAGCCCAGCCACGTCAGCACAGACAGGCAGTTATCGGATCCATGCCATTCACCATCCATCCTGCCCTCCCTTCCTCCAGATAAACTACCACGAATAAATCCAAAAGACTGGCTCTGCAGGGACAAAGGTTTGGGCGATTCCCTCTTTGGAAACAAAGTTTGACCAACTTCTCCCCTCCACTGGCCCAGTTGGGGTTTCCTGTTTCAGCATCTCTGGGGCTGCCTTTTCCTCTGCCATGGCCGGTTTGTCCCTTTACAGAGAATTGCACATCTGGGCAAAAAGTCTGTTTCCTGCCGATTCTAATTTCTGCCACCTGATAAGAAACCAAAGCAAAACCCTTTATGGGGCACCCGGCAGGCACAGCCTGGCCAAACAACTAAGAATAGCCTGGCAGCAGGCTCTGAAAACTCTGCAGGTTTGTTGGGCATTATTTTGTTGTGGGTCTTTTTGTTGATTTTTTTTTTCTTTTAAAAAAATGCTGTTGCAGCCGCACTGAAGCCAGCTCCCAGCTCTGCCCTGCACCCACCTGCAGGCTGCTGGGTTCTCCCTTTTCTCTCACCCTCCAGCCCCTTTAGCACTGCTGCAACAGAGAGAGAAGAAAAATCCTTCAGGGTTGAGCTTGGGGATGCTCCCACCGAGCCTATTTTTTTGTTTCTGCCTCCCAAGGAGGCAGAGACCCCCACATAAAGCACCAACACCCCTGGGCTCCCAGCAGGACGACAGTTCTGGGGAAGAAGGAGATGCAAGTAAATAAGAGGAGGGCAGCATTTGCCCCAGCTTTTCCAAGCCCCGCGTGGGACCTGCTGCAGACGGGAGTGTTTATAAGCAGCATCTTGAGAACATTCCTCCCACCCGCGCAAGGCATTTCCTGGTGATAACACACTCCTAAGTAATGATCTCGCAGCATTATCCCTATTAAAAGGTCATTCAGGGAAAGTGTGATGGAAATTAGAAATTATTCAAGTCTGCCAACAGTATTTAACTTTCAAGCAGCTCTTAATTAGAAGCCAGGAGCCATTTATACAACCACTGAGATTTGCATAAGAATCTGCATATAAAACCCAGCAACTGGAAAGATTTAGTGATTTTTTTTTTTTTTCAAGTGGCAAAGCAGCATGCCCAGGTTAGAGACCGCCAGGCAGGACCCTGGATTGCCATCCAGGCACTGCCAGTGATTTTAAGTGTGGCCTCGGGCAAGTGATTTCCTCTCCCAAAGCTCCATTTTTTCCATTCATAAAATGGAAATTAGTGTGTATCCACTAAAACCTTCTAGGTGGCAGTTTGTGTTTGCAAGAGGAGCCTGGCACTGCTGGGTGAGAAACCTTGGACAAGAACACGAAGGAGGCCCCTACACCTGCAGCTTTCAGGGGATCAGGAGCTGCTCCCGAGCTGCCCACAAATTGGGGTTACAGCCGAGTTTCTCTCCAGCTGAAAAACCCCTGTGTGCATCTAGGCTAAAAGCCAAAGGCTAAAAATGGGAATAAATACCTCTGGGTTGCTCAATCCCTGCTCTCCCTGCTGGATTGATGGGAGAGTTGATGGTGGGTTTCAGATTTAGTTCCTTGCTCCTTTTTCTCTGGCTGACACTGGGTGTTTCAGCAGCTTCAAAACGCAGGTGCCCATCTCTGCACAAAGCAAGGGTGGAAAGTCAGAGTCAAGCTCCCAGCAGTCGATTCTCCTTGCTGAAAGCCCCCAGACCCCGATTATTTTGTTGCTGCACCCTCTAACTGGTTTATTCCCAGGATGCCAGTGGTGTGGCTGGGAAATGCTTAACCAGATGGAAAAAAATCAACAGCTCATTGCTATTGCTCTGGTTAACTATTCTCCTGCCCAGTTCTTGCCTCCCTCGCCATCCACTGCACCCCTTGCCCCGTTGCTCTCCTGTCCCCTCCCTCTGTTGAACTTCACCCTACTCTCTCTTTGCTCACAGCTGGACAAGGGGGACGTGACTGCGCTGAGCCTGCCCTCCGCCACCGGGCACAGTGACGCCGATGGCACCATCTGCCTGGACGTCCCCGATGGCACCCCTGACCCTCACAGGACAAAAGCCGCCATCGAGCACCTGCCACCGAGAACCTGCACCAGAAGATCCTCAAGATCACCGAGCAGATCAAGATCGAGCAGGAGGCTCGCGATGACAACGTGGCCGAGTACCTGAAGCTGGCCAACAACGCGGACAAGCAGCAAGCCTCCCGCATCAAGCAGGTTTTCGAGAAGAAGAACCAGAAGTCGGCGCAGACCATCGCGCAGCTGCACAAGAAGCTGGAGCATTACCATAAGAAGCTGAAGGAGATCGAGCAGAACGGCCCTTCCCGGCAGCCCAAGGATGTCTTCCGGGACATGCACCAGGGTCTCAAGGACGTGGGCGCCAACGTCCGCTCCAGCA